GTCTCGCTCTCAGTCAGCAAAGGGACAGGGACCAGGGCTTAGTCCTCCTGGCAGCTGGGAAACGCCAGCCCAGCTCCCTGGGGACTACTGACCACACAGCGGGGTCCCCACCAGTCGGCTGGGACAGAGAGCAGCTGCCGGGGATACAACCAGCCGAGGCATCTGAGACCCACTTAGCCCTGCTCACTCCTTCTATAGCAAGGTGCCAGTCCAGGCACCCATTACACGTGAGCATCTAGACCGGTAGGGCAGGACGGATGACCCAGGTGGACTGAGTCAAAAAATTAAAAACAAAAACCAAAAAAACCAGATCGTTGCCTCAGCTCCCAATTCCCCCAGAATGAAGCCTTCTCTGTCCTGATCCCATGGCATCATCAGGATCAGAATCCCATGGGACCCCTTCATGGGCTGAGGCTCTCTCGCTCCATACCCACCTGCCATGTAGAACTTGGCTCCGGCCATGCCCCACCCCAACTCCTCTCTATTTTTTACTTCTTCTTGGTATATGGGTTCAATGCAAGACTATAACCTTCTGGAGGACAGACACTCTTGTTAGCTGTCTATATCCCACAGCTCCCACCCAGCATGGTATACTTAGTACAGAGAGTACACAGCAGGTGTCTAATAGATGCTTGGCGCATGGCATCATGGGAGTGTAAGACGGACTAACAGTCACACGTAGGTGTGAGCTGGACAGACCTGCAGCAAGGTGCGCAGCAGGAGTGAGGTATGCTGCCCCTGTGGGCCAGGGTGTATCTCCAAACACTGGGTCCCGCTGAGGGAGAGAGAGGTGTTCAGAAGCCATACCCGTCGCTCCAGGGCCCTCTCCATTCGACCTTGCCCCAGGGGTTCCACAGGCGGACGAGATATTCCCAGCTCCTCCTGTACCAAACCTGCAGAGGAGAACAGAAAAGGGAGACTGTCAGTGTTCGCCAGCAAAAGTCAGTGGAAAAGAGGGAATACGAATGCGGCTGCTTCTTACCTCCAAGGACTAATTTAACTTCTGACCTCATTTGGCTGCAGCCAGAAAAAAAACTGAAAGGGAAAAAATCAATGTCTCCACCGGCATGGAGTTGGAATGAGATCAAAGAGAAAATGGCCCCTTTCTGCTCAGCACCTCAAAGGGCAGGGGCAACTTCCTCATTCTGTAGGACTGCATCCTAAAACTTGTGTGAGCTGAGACTTAGCAGATAAACATCGGTGGATGGTGTCTTGGGCTGCAGAAGGGAGATCTTTATGCGTCCCCAGCCTCCGACACACCCTGCCACAGCCAGCATCTCTCTTCCACAGAAATAGCCGCTTCGTTGCCAGCTGCCCCTCGGGACATGTGCGGGGTCTCCCTAGCACTGTCCTGAGTGAGGCCAGCAGAGGAGGCTGATCTGAGCAAGACCAGGACTCGGGAGTTGAGCCAGCCCCAGCCTGCAATCCCTGCCCGTCGGGGAGCAGGCACCTCCATGGCCTGAGCTGTCCTTCCTCCCCCAGGGGACCGCATCATCATCGCTCCCAGACTCGTGGAGGCTGACACATGTGCTTCTTCAGACCACTGAGGCCAGAGGGCAGACCACTGAAAAGTTATAGCAAAACAATCACAGCCCTTTGAACTTACTTTCCTGGATCCAGGAGGCCTCAGCCTGGTGAGAGGAATTAAAGCATGATTGAGTTGTAGCGGTGCTATTGATCTATGCTAATGTTGTCTGAGGAGATGGAGGCCTGGAGGGGTGTCAGAAGGAGGGCACTTGTTCAGTGATTCCAGGCAGAGGAGACAGCGAAAGCCCCGAGGGGACTCTTCCCATGTGGAAATGAAACTGGTATGTGGAGGCAGGACTTGGAGCCAGGCCTGACTGTGACGTGTGCTGGTCCTTCTATCCTCTGAGCTAGATGTATATAGAATTCCCATCATGCAGAGGAGGAGACTGAGCATCAGAGAGGTTGAGCAACTTTCCAAAGGCCACACAGTAAGTGGCAAAGGAGGAGTCCTGATCTTAGCTACTGCCAGTCTCCAAAGCCCAGGCTCTCAACCTTGGAATGCGAGTGGATAAAGGACACAGCTGCTCTAGGACCCAGCCCCTTCTCGGATGTAGCTGAGACCCTGACCTTGCAAGTAACCCCTGGGCCAGTACATGCTCACCAATAGGGAAGTACCATGAAGGGGCAATGCAGTTAGATGAGGGCCCAAGGACCCGGCTTGGGTGAGGTTCTTTTCTGTCTAGTTCTATATGGCTGACACCACAGTGGAAGGTACTTTGACTTTTAATGTCATGTGGCATAGGGGTGCCCCCTCTGCCTCACCCCCACACACTCCAGGCTTTACACACGTTGCATTGTTAACTGCGAGCACGTGACAAAGCCCATAGTACAGGGATGTGAGAAATGGTGGTCTGGTGGCCCAAAGTGCTTAATGAGCCACCCTCAGTGCCTCAGGGAGAGCAGGGACTCAGGCTGGTGTAGGGGAGAAGGGTGGCCAGTGACTGGAAGGGGCTGAGAACAGAGCTAAATGAGGCATGCCGAGAAACACGCACCCCCTTGCCCAGGGGAGTCACCGCCCCAGCTAGGTGCAGAATAAAACATGCCAATTTCATTTATCTTCCTGTCTGTGTCCCGCCCAGAGGGAGGATGAGCAGATTAAAAAGCACACTGCATTTATGGGCTGGTTTAATCTTAGCTCTTGTGGTCGGAGTTA